AAATACAAAAAAAAAGGTATCTTGATCAAAATTTTTAAATAGCGTGACATTATAAAATGATTGGCACTGTTTAAGAACTAAGTTTTTATACAGCAGGCTCTCTTTCTAAATAGAAGAGGCCATGTGCTCTCTGTACTATATATATCTAGTATCTGACCTAAGCTCCTCTCTTTTTCTCCCACAATTTATTTCCAATAGGAGCGTCGCAGTCAAGACATAAAAAGTGAACTGGAGAACCATAAATACCATTACACACAAATATTTATCTTCCCCTCTTATTTTTCTTGAGAAATTCTCTCTTTCTCCCACTCTTTTTACTATAGAAAAAAAAAAAAAACCATATATATAATATTATCTTTTCATGCATGGCTACTTCCTTGCAAGACGCCAAGACCCTATACTTATATATAGTGTGTTTTATGTATATATAAGCTAAAACTGAGACCTCTGCTATTTATGCATGCATGGATATTAAATAGACTCCCATGCATTGGTGGATTTAGAAGTTTTAGATGACAGATTCGGACCTAGAAGATTACATGAATACATGTTATGTATAATCCTCTTTTTTTGGTATTTACCTTTTTGTCCTTTGCCAGGTGGATGCTATGAAAGGAAAAGAAAAGAAACGAAACGAAAAGAAAAGCATCTTGAGTATCCAATATCCAATATTTTCTCGGTCCTAGGGATGAAAAATAATGCATGCCTATAATCCTACAGTGTAGCTAGCTAGGCAATGCAATGATGTTTTCAAAAAATATTGGTGGTGGGGTTTCTTCCAGAGATGAAAAAATGCAAGAAAAAATATTCATGTCAATCAATAAAGATAACGAAATTCGGCTAGTGTTACCCAACATCCTACGCACAGGGCTTGTGGGTTTGTCAATTAATGGGGTCGATAAGCAAGAAAACAGTTTTCCCCACTACAATAAGTGATTCTCTGACCAGTTGGGATTCGGTTGATTATATGTCATATATATCAACCTCAAGCCTCAAGCCTCAAGCCGGCCGGGATGTGATCAATCGATTATTGCAATATTTTCATTACTAGCCAGCCAGTGATCAATCGATCTTTAAATTGTGAAAAGACTTCACCTTAAAAACACATTTGTCCGTATTATCTGATCAATTTGATGAGAAGTGAAATCTAATATATATATATATCTATATATATATGATTAATTGTACGCTATTCCAAACTCTCCAATGGGGGCACCGATCTTGTACATATAATTTCTTTCATTCAAGTGGAGTTTGATGTGTAGAATTATTATGTCTTCTTGACGGGCAACCATATATATTTGAATGTGGAATATTTTGATTTTCCATACGTGGCCAACACACACGCACACACATTTTTTTGTGTGGAAATAAGTTGAATATTTTAAACCTTTTTTTCAAAAAAAAAAAAAAAAAAAGAGAAGAAAATATATCAATATACATATGTGTGTAGATATATATAATATCCATGTATGTATGAAAAAGAAAGACTACAAAGGAGAGTGCGAGATTATATAGGAGTAGAAGAGAGGAAATTTAAAGAATAAATAACAAGTAAATAAATAGATGAATATACGTTTATTAGTGAGTGCTACTAAAAGTGGACGGTGGACCGATCTTTCGGCTCCATTTTATTGATGTAGAAGTTGTAAAAAGAATCACTCTTCCAAATACATTTATTTATCTGTATTATTGTTTTTTATTGCCCAAAAGAAGAAAAGAAAAACTCACTTTCCATCTTTGATTGCTACAGCCTCTCAGTAAGAACAAACACATGAAATTTTTGATGGGCTAGTTTTGAAAATGATTGACTGACTAATAGCATGATTAAGGGCCCGTTTAGTTCACTGATTCGAATTAAGATGTGATTTTATGTGAGAACTTTTTACTGTAGTAAAAAAGTTAAATGTGACTGTTTATAAAAACTTTTTACTGTAATAAAACTCGAATTCTAAATTTAAATCGGTAAAATAAACATGGCCTAATATTAATGACATGTCTAGACGTGAACGATATTTTTGACATAGCTAGCTAGTATAGCTTTGAATATATATATATATATATATAAGTATGTATATTCCCAATTGCCAAATTTTTACTAATGTATAAACTCTTGAACTTCGTCGAGTCTCCACATCAGCTGTCACTTCCAATTAAGTAACACTCATTCTATTTGCGAATTTGGTTCAGAAGTTGACAAACCAATAATAATCGACAGCAGAAAGATATGGCAGCAGCTATTTAAGATAAGCGATGACAATTAGCATTATAACCCTTTGTTTCAGTTTGTGAGTTTTCATTCGAAAGAAAAAAGAAAGGATTCTCCCGAATCTCCTTTTTTGGTAATCGGCCATTTTGGACCACTATAAATTATATAATTGTATATAATGGACTTTACGACCTAAATATTGAACCATATGATCATGGGTCAACTCACGTCTTACTTTTTCCCAAAACAATACGAAGCATAGCAAACCGAAAAAATTAAAAGCCAGTCAGAAAGTTCCTGTGGCTGCCTGTTTCTTTGTCCCATATATATGAATAAATTTCCTTTAGCAAAAAATAAATAAATAAATTTCTTACGGTTTCTTTTAGGGCCGTAAGAATTTGACCCGAACCCGACTAACTCTTACATGATTCAACCCCGAAAACATAAGGTTTTTTTTTTTTTTTGGATTCAAATAGGGCCAACCCGCAATGTACGGATTGGGGCGCGGGGTGTGCATCTTGTGACCCGTTATTCCCCGACCCAGCCGTGTGAAGATAGTGGTGTAAAACAAAACCCTAATCACTTCACTAGTTTAGTTCTCAATTCAGTCTTGCCTCCTTCTCAGTTTTCAGTTCTCAGTTCCTCTTCTCACTTCTCAGTCTCCGACTCTCCGTTCATCTTCTTCTTCTCACAGTCCAATTCTTCCCCCAATTCCAATGCTCATGGCGAGTTCTTCCGGTGCTGCTTCTCCTGCTACACCTTCCTGGTTCACTCCCAGAAGATGCTTACTTTGCTTTCAATGTGTCATTGTTTGATTCTTTTTCTGGCTTTGTTTTTGGGCTTTTGTTTGTTACCTTTTTTGGTTGTTGGGAAATTATGGGGAAAGAAATAAGTTTATATATATATATTGGTTTATTGGGATTTTTTGCATGTTCTCTCATCTAGTCTGGAGAAAAATTGAGATTTCTTAGGCTCACAATGGATAAGAAATTTTTGGGTCATGAGAGCTGTTGAGAATTGTACTTTGTTTTTCTTTGTTTCCTTTGTTAATTTTTTTTTTTTGGCTACCAAGTGGGAGTTATAGGTACTAATATTACTATTATTTTTTTTATTTTTTTAATCCGGATTTGGTTGCTGAGAAAACACAGATAAAGTTAGATGGTTAATGACCATTTTAGTGGAATTAGATTGTAATATTGTTTCCATTTTTAAGTGAGACTTGAGACAAACTCTCGTTTAAAGGATGTGTATTTTTTTTATGACTGTTTAAATTCTGAGTTTTGATCAAGAATACTTGGAAAGTTTTCATTAGATTAATGATCATATTAATGGAAGTGTAATTTGCTTCCTGAGGTTTGTTTATATAGCTTCTTGGGCTCTGAAATTGGATCATATATATCTGGAAGGCTGAAATTTTCAGCCTACAATTTGCTCCAGCGCGCATGGGACACAGGCCCAAACACGTTCAGGCCCAAATCGATCAATCCGCAAAATCGAGCCTACTCGAGATAACCCGAAGGGTTACGGGCAAATTCCCTCACCCGGACATTTACGGCTCGGCCCAAATTTCAGGCCCAACCCGAGCTTACCCGGCCGAATCACACTCCTAGTTTCTTTGTTCAATTGTTACAAGGGAAAAGATATAAATACCTCTTAAGAGTGTATAGATCTGATTTTTTTATCATTTACTATTGATTAATATCTTTTTTAATCAAATAATTATATTAATTAAAGAGTTATTAATTAAAACTAAGAGGTAAAAATTCTGTCTCAGGAAGGTAAATTCAACAAAAATTCTTGTTATCATGTGTTATTTCTCCGTTAAAACTTGCGCAAGAACCATAAGCCCAAATGGCCAAAAGTCCAATAAAGCCCAAGCTTTTCCCTTTTTCACCTCAACTCATTATAGGCCCATAAAATACAACTATTCGTCAGAACCAAATTCCAACAGTTCCTTCAGAATTTTTTGATTAAAAAAGAGGCTTACTAATGAAGAGGTTATTTACCGATAAATTAAGGGTTCGTTCACTTCGCTGATTCGAGTTTATAATTCGAGTTGAGATGTAATTTTGTGTGAGAATTTTTTACTGTAGCAAAAAAGTTAGATGTGACTGTTTCTGAGAGCTTTTTACTGTAGCAAAACTCGAATTCTAAACTCGAATCGGTAAAATGAACGGGGCCTAAGTATTTTTAAGTTCAAATAGTTACAAGTCTTTAAATACCTTTGTTAGTTTAATATGTTTTTGGTGTTATTTTGTAGAAAAAATAATAAAATGAGATTTAGTGGCATTTTGGAGTACAAAATTAGAGTAAAAAGCACTTAAGGCCGCACAAGGCCCTCTTGGGCAGAACCACCTGAGCCGGCACGACATCTCACTTATCTTAGATAAGATATCAATAGATCAACAAATTATTAACAGATATGTAGACCAGTATTTCCTAACTGATCATGTCTTTGATTTCATTTAATCGCCGGAGATAATTATGAAATTTTGTCATCCATACGAGTACTGTACATAATTATTCTTATACATTTCACTAGTATCATATAGATTTTTTTTTTTTTTTTCGAAAATAACTGTAATATAGTATTGAGCAACTATATCGATAAAAGTACCATATGTTTCCTATCATAAGTGATTTTAAGAACGGAAATCCATGTTGCTTTAAGTAAGCCAAGGATATGATTCATAATTCCAACTCAACCAACCCACTAAAAGAATGAAAGGATCATATGACAAACTCCTTAAAACTGATTAATTTAATATTAATATAACCCTAAGCATGGCTGTCAATAGAGCGTTGAAGACCGCGGTTTTCGTCCAGCCTTTTTCTAGTTAAATTCCCTGCTTACAAGCAACCACTTGTCCTAGAAGAATCATTTTTCTCAATGTAACAAACGAAAACATAAAGACAAATTTATTCTTGCTTTGTTTTTATATATACACACTCTGTTTTAATTTGTCGTACCCTATGCATTTTTAATAAGATATTCAATCATACTTAATAATAATGGTGACCAGCTAATAACGCTTGAGATCTCTTCTCATATCGAAAGCCATTCTTCTTCGAATCATCCGCAGACCAAACAAAGATACCATGAAGCCGTTTTTGTCTCTTGAGCGTATTACACGCTGTGAAAAACCCTTTCTCCGGCGACAATCCGCCGCTCCCATCGCTAATAACGCTCGTCAGCACCTTCCCACCGTGATAATTAGAGCTTTGGGTGTTGAAATAATCAATAAACTCCGACACCGTCGTGCCCTCATCATACGCGTAGAATTGGAAGTTGACGTAGTCTATAAAGTGCCCGTATTTTTTCCACAGAGCCAAATAATGGCTCTGAACTTGGTCATCATCAAAAGGAGCTATGGAAGCAAACGAAATGACCCCTTTTCTCTTCAGGGTCTTTATCAGCCGCCCGGTGCACTCTGCGAAAGTGTCGGGATCGGAGCGGAAATGCTCGTAGTCGATGTGGATTCCGTCGAGGTGGTACTTTCTGATGATGCTTGTGAGAGTGGAAACCGCGTTGGAAACCCACGAGTCCACCGAGGAAGGTTTGAAATAAGCGTAGCCTTTTCCGACGCTGTCTCCTCCTAGGCTTACGGCGACTTTGACGTTCGAATGGAATTTTTTGATGGAAGAAACATGGGAGGGGCTGAGATTGTCGGAGTCCCAGAAGACGTTGAATTTGCCGTTGGTCGGAGAAATGCCGGAGGAGTCGTAGTCAATGGCGAAGGAGAGAATGAAGTGGAAGTCAACGTTTGGGTTGATGGGGACGTCGGAGAATTTAACGTTGTTGAACTCGGCCCCTATGTATTCCCTAAAGAGGCCGTTTGTGTTCGAAGGGTGTGCTTGGACTAATGTTTGGAAGAGTAATAGGGTAATGATAACCTTCAGAACTATTGCCATTTCAAGTTTGTGAATTGTGGGCGCTATGATAAGTAGTACTAAAATGGATTGTGGTAATAACTTGTAAGGGCTAGTTGTATATATAGGGTCCGTTCTCTGATTTGAGTTTATAATTCGAGTTGAGATGTGATTTTATGTGAGAACTTTTTACTGTAGCAAAAAAGTTAGATGTGACTGTTTCTGAGAGCTTTTTACTGTAGCAAAACTCGAATTCTAAACTCAAATCGGCGAAATGAACGGGGCCATAATAGTTCTAAGTTGCTAACACATTAGATTTCTCTTGAGGCGTTGAATCGGGGCCCGAGAGCAACACTAATCCTCTTTTTCTTTGACAAACAAGTTTCTATTACATTAATTAATTACTAATTAGGAGCTCGATGTTAGGAAAAGATGTGATTGGGTGCTGTTGCCGTACTTACGTAATTTGCAGTGTTCGTCATTTTACTACATCACATCAAATTGAGTTATAAAATAACTCACGATCGTCGCTAATAAGTGTCGTCGCGAATAATATCGTCACTAATAATGCCGTCGCACATGGTACTTTATACGTAAATATTGATGATCTAGTTGTTCGGTCTTGTTGTTTTGTATTAAGAGATGATGTTGGAAATCTGGTAATAAAGATTTGAAACACTTAACGAACACGCTTTTTTTAAAGCGTTTTTTGTCTCCTCTGTTCTGTGAGATTGCTTACGTGTTTCAAGTACTCTTCATTACGAGATTTTCAACGCATGAAGATTCAATGAATTATGCCTTATCGGAGATGACAGCAAAGAAAAAAGACCAGAATGATATGTCTTCATACAAACATTAGCGCTCAATTATTATTAAAGATGAGGGAGAGGCAAGGGGAGGCAAATAACATTATTTCAAAACATCCTTAAAGTATTAATAGCGTATTCTTAAAGAGAAATTATATTTCAAAAAGATTAAGCAAGGCAATTATTGAAAAAGAAAAAAAAAAGATAAAAACTTTTACTTTTGACGTTTTAACCACAATTACGAAAAATTATTTAAATTTGACTTGAAAATTAATTATGTTGTAGATAAAATCAATTTGGCAGAAGAACTAAGATGAAAAGGAGATTGAAAGAAACTACAATCTAACATTCCGAACAAAGATTGAAGAAGTTACTTCTAGCAAAAACGAATATGAAACGGGGTTGAAGAATGAGGAAATTCGTTGATTTCACCTTTTAATTTCATATTTGATCAGAGAGAAAAATAACTCATCAAGCTAAATTAAACCCTAAAATGAGAAAATGCTTTCAAAGAGAGAAATAATGAAAATCGATAATAGTTTGTGCTTTTACCTGATAATCCGAGAATGAACAACAGATTTTGAGAAATTTTCCTAAGATTGGAGACGTCTTGCATCTTTCCTCTCCATTTTCTTAGGAACCAAATTGATAACTCTATGAAATAGAGTTTTTTTTTTTTTTTTTTTAATATTTGTGCATTTAAATTGGCTAAGTTCTTGAGATTTTAGATCTTTTTAATTTAATTTTGTGTAATTTTAATTTAGTTTATTTTAGTTTGATTTCGTTTTAATTTATTTTGTTTTAGTGCAGTTTTTCTTTATTTTACTTAATTTAGTATTAATTTTATTGTGCGTTTATTTAGTTTTCCTTTCAAACTAATTATTTTTCTCATTTGTGTATTTGAAGTAGGTAAAAAGGGATCTAAATGGAAAATTTGAGCTGAAATGGGGTCAAAATTATAAAAGGAAATTCAAATTGAATCCGGCACCAAACGAAACCCAGACTCGCGAGTAAAAATACATGTCTACAACTCGCTATTTCAACCGTCTATTATCATAGCAACGGCCAAGATCTTGCACGTGTGCGCCACTCCCCCTCACCGCGCGTTGAGCAGATAGCGGCAGCAACCTCACCCATTTAGCGCGCGCCACGTGCTCCCCTCACCCTAATCCAGCTACCCAGTTTCCTTACAGGTGCGCCCACCAAACTCTCGTGCACCCGCGCCCTTTCTCATCTCGCACGCCGCCACCTCTTCCACATAACCCCAATCCATTCACATTTCGCCACGTGGCTGAGCGCACTGAAGCCTTCTTCTGCGTTTCCTTCTCTCCCATTTGGCGTGCATTTTGGGGCTGTTATCAGCCATTCTTCCTCGCCCATTAACACATGAACCAGTGAGAGGAAGCTGGGAGAGAACAATATAAGGAAAAAAAAAAAAAAAGAAGTGTAAAATTTTATTTTTAGTTTGAGGCTTTAGGATATTATTTCTAAATTTAATTTAAGAATTTTTATTTTTCTATTTCCAATAACCAAAGGAGTAATTTTAAGGAGGAGAGGAGAGGAGAGTCTGGAAATGGAGAATTTCATCTACACGTTTAACTAAACTTTACTCTCTTTAATTTGTGCTTTTATGTTGTTTAATTTCTTTGGGATTGTGATGTTATTTTTAATTATGAGTTTATTTCCTTTTCTAGGATTAATTTGTAATTTAGCCAGATCTTGGTTGATTTTGTCCTATGTGATTTTTATTTGATTAATTGATATTATTTATCCTATTAGGTTCTTAATGCTCTTAATTAGTTGGCCACTAGTTAGGTGATGATAGGTTCTTAATGCTCTTAATTAGTTGGCCACTAACTAGGTGATGATGTTGGACTTTAATGAAATTGGAAAATGGATTTTTGGTCTCGATCAATAATAGGTTAACATATGCAATTTGGAATAGGAATATATCCTTAGGGTATTTGTAGTCATTTTGAACGCTTTTACTTAATGAATTCATGTTGATTGAAGCCTCACAGGAATATAGGGTTTCGATTAATGTGAGTGGGCCTACTAGTTTATCGAAAGAAGTGAGTAGGTAATTTCGTGCATTCGGATAATAATTCAATTAATTAAAATTAATTAATTATAGAGTGAAACCAATTTGATGACATTAATTGGGTGAGATTGTAGTCCTAAAGATTTTATTTCCATTTCTTAGTTTTTTTTGTTATATTTAGTTTAGTTATTTTTCTTTTTCATTAATCGCTCATTTGAATAATTATAGAGTTGATCCAATTTCAAAAATCAACATAAATTGAATACAATCTCTGTGAAAATAATACTCTACTCACTCTTTTTTACTTGTTATGATTTCGTACACTTATAGATCCCACACAATACAACACAAATGAACGGAGAGAAAAAAAAAAGAAAAAGAGATGAGATAAGGGCCTAGGAGGAGAGAGATCTAATAGAAAAAAAGTTGTCTTAAAATCTTTTATTTTATTATAATAAGGTAGATTTTTTAGTATGTTTAGCGTACGAGTAGGTCATATTTTTTTAACAATTAGATCGACGTATTTTTTTTATTTTTATGTAATTTTATACAGATCTAACATACAAAAAACCTGACATACCGGTATAATGGTATATTGGAGAAGGTCCCTATAAAAGAAAAAGTTGTTTAAAAACATATTGGAAACATCGAATTTTTGTTTTCAAAATTTTTTAAAATTTAATAACAAACTAAAAAAATATAAAAATAAAAACAAATGAACCGAAAACATTTTCAAATTCAATTTTCCTTTAAAAAATTATTTAAATGGTACCGAACGTACCCATAATTTCTCCATTACCTTCATTGAAATGGAGTTTGATGTGTAGAATTATTTATGTCTTCTTGATTGACAACAATATATTTGAATGGATAATGTTTTAATTTCCCGTGGCCAACACATACGCGCACACAATTTTATTTATTATGTTTTGTGGAAATAAGTTGAATAAGAAAACATACCAACATAAGTACGTATATAGAAATATATGGAAAATTTTTAATATTATTAAAAAGATAAGAATGACATCAAAATTTTACATAATTACATAAATAATAGATTTGGAAAAAAAGCAAATGCTTTAATTTGAAATTTTCTCTATATATAATATATGTATGTGTGTATGTATAAAAAGAGAAACTACAAAGGAGATAGTGAGAGATCAAGAGAGGAAGTTTCGCCATTCATATGCCTTGTACTAGTTTTTTTTCCAACCCATTGAGTAAAGTATATAATTATCTATATACATTTCAATATTATATAGTAATGAGCTGCACAATGCATCAATAAATATTTCTTAACGCTATACCAATAAAATTTTTCAATCGTAAGTGATAATCTTAAGCACGGAAATCCATGTTGCTTTAAGTAAGCCAGAGACATGATTTGTAATTCCAACCCAACCAACCCACTAAAGAGAAGTGAAGGATATAATAAACATAACGGGCTCGTTTAGTTCGCTGATTCGAGTTGAGATGTGATTTTATGTGAGAGCTTTTTACTGTAGCAAAAAAGTTAGATGTGATTGTTTGTGAGAGCTTTTTACTGTAGCAAAACTTGAATTCTAAACTCGAATCAGCGAAATGAACGGTGCCTGATTGATTCTAATATTATAACCCTAAGCATGACTGTCAACAGAGAGTTAAAGACCACTTGCCCTAGATCGAGGAATCATTTTCTCGATGGAATGGACGGAAAAAAATAAATAAAGACAAATTTTTATTCTTTATTTATTTTTATATGTGATGACCAAATCGAGAAACGTCTCTAAAACTCATTAGCACGTGATCGCTTAAAATACTTTAATTAATTAAAGTAAAATTTACAAAAAAATAAAAAATAAAAAAAGCATATACCAAGTCTCAATCTTCTCAAAACCAAATTGCATACATACAATTTAAAAGTTTTATCATAACAAAACATATTGTGGAATTAAAAATGCGTGTAGTATCCATTTCTCATTCTCCACACTGCTCGCATGCCGTTATGCACAATCCATTATTCACAAGTTAATTTCCTACAATATGAATACATCCTAGGGGTGAGTTTATACTCAACAAGTATGAATTTAAGTCCCGCTAATTAAAAACAGAGTACTTAAAGCATAACAATAATGCATATGCCAATTAAACTCTTTTATGAACTTGACTTATTAAATCTAATGGGCCTAAGTGTTCATACCGATTGCGTGCGATCAACAGGTAGAAAGGGTTTGCAAGGTCCCCAGCTACACCGTGATCATAATTCATTTCATCATTTGTATTCCTAAACATAAGCTCCCCAATCTCGGGAGGTTGGTACGACACTCAACTTTAAATTGTTTTCATTAATTCATTAGTGAGCATGTAACATGACATGACATTCTATATCATAGAGCATAGACATGTATAATATTTCACTTTAAAACTTATTCATATTGTAGGTGAGATTCTCACTTACCTGCTATCAGCCAAGGTTAGGACTATATTATATTACTCGCCGAGGTTAACCTCTACTGCCGTGTTCTATAAAGAAAACTCACTGAGAGTGTGAGTTTGACTCATTATAAGCTAGTCTATTAGCTTAGTCTATTTAGGAATTCATTCTTATACTTAGAAATATTTCCTTTTTAAATAGAGATCTTTTAACTTCTTTCACATTACAAGGATTATTTTTAATAAATCCTGATCATATACTTTTCCTTAATTACCTTTGCTAATTGGTCCTAGGTTAACAACTTAATTGTCTAAGTTACTATTTCATATTATTTCTTACTTTGGGCCCAAAATTTGTATTAAGGCCCATTAGTCTCCAACATGTCTACAATGGTCTTTTACACTAGCGTGTCTAACTTAGGCTTGAAAAGTTGTTGGCTTAGTACGGGTGTTAGGCCCGTACTTAGTGTTTTTTTTATAAAAAAAATTCTCAATCCAATCTTTTTTTAAAAAATCATTAGTAAATCCCATTTTATTGCTAGTAATATTGCCGGTTACTAAGAATTGGGCCTAGTAAATACTTAGGAGACGTTTGGTAAGGGGATTCATACCATGATTTGAATCATAGTTCATGGTTCGCTACAGTGTTTTCTCTCACAAAATACACGTAAATAAAAAATTGTTCTAATCCATGAACCATAAGTTTGTAACACTTTTAAGATTTCTTATTTTGTCTTAAACTTTCAATTCCTGAAAAACTCAAATTCAAACGTTTTAAAAAATCCGAACTGTTTCAAATCCTTTGTGATAAACTTTTATGTTTTTCCTTAATCTTTAATCGACTACGTTTTAGAGTTAGATTCTTAAAATCTAAACTTTGCAAAGTTTCTTCGTCTCAATGTGATCTAAAAGTTTCATGTTTCATTGAAAATGAGGTTCGGCGTCGGAAATGACCGAAATCTAAAAAATAATGGCGACACAAATATTATTTTGTGCAGTTTTTGAAAACGTCCCAAAAACGCGTCCTAAAATCAGAATTGTGATTTTTCACAGTCACAGAGATTTGTTCATAACGTCGAAAACTTTGAGATACCTGACTCAAAAATCCTGAAATTATCCTCTAAAGGTTCAAAAAACAGAAAAACAGAAACTATGTCAAGTTAACAGTTTTGGACAATTTTTATGAAATTCGGGGCAGTTTTGGAAAAATGTCTAAAAACACATTTTAGGGGCATAATTGAGATTTATCTCAGTTATAAGGAAAAGTTCAGCACCTCATGATCTACAACTTTTGTGAAATAGAATTTTTCTCAATTTAGATCTAACAGCTTCGAATTTTAAGTCAAAATAGACTAAAAATTTTAACTCAAAAATAAAACTTACCAACTTAAATTTTTTTGCATCCTTATCCTCTTAATGTTAACATGAAAAGTTTAGAACTTGTTCCAAACACACAAAACAACAACCTTGAAACATGAAATACAATTTCAAAATGTAGATCTAACATTAAAAATCCCATGCATGTGAAGATCTAACCTTTTAACACACATAAAATAAAACTTGGTAAACAATCCAAACTTTGTTCTTAAAGTTAAAAGATCAAGATAAGTTTTGAAAAGTCTTGCCACAAGACTTAGGAGAGGAAGGGTTTTGACCACCAAGGTGAGAGATTCCTACAAAGATTCAAACTTTTAAGGAGAGTTAGAAATTTGAACAAAGAAAATCAAAAGAGGAAAGTTTTGATCTTTATCCTTGAATGTGCTAAGAATTCCTACACAAATTTCTTCTCGTTCTTTTAGATTGTGATTTGAAGTCTTCTTTGTGTGAGAGAAGTGGAAAAATTTTGAAGAGGGGGCTTGTGAGGTTCGGCCAAGAGAGGAGAAAAGAGAGGGAGAAGGTGAAAAATAAGGAAATGGTAAAAAAATGAGCTTAATTCTAAATGGTGGTATTTATAGACAATTGGTTAATTATACTTAACCATAATTCTTAGGCTTCTTAGCCTCACTAATTGGATAAAAATTTTGATTAACCATGTTAATTACGGGCTGCCCACGACTAAGAGAAAAAAAGAGATAAATCTCCTTAATGATGACTTATAACACCTTTCAACTCAAGGTCAAATTAAGTCCCATCATTATCTCCCACTAAAGTCTTCTCTTATCAAATCAAACTTACACTGATAGTAGTTTCTAAATTAGTTTACATGACAAATATTTTCTGACGGTTTTCAGTTCACTGTTAAAAACACAGTCCTACATTATATTTGGTAGAAATTAATACCGGTTTAGATTTAAAATCGCATAGATTATTTGGGTTGTTTTCTGACTTTAAAATGCCTTAAAATAACTTAAAATCTAAGTTCAACATACGTGTCTTAAACTCTCAGTAAAATATGATAATCGACAATGTCGATTTCTGAGCCCGGCTTTACAGTTTTTACTAAAACCGCGAATCATGTTAACTCTGATTTTACTAATTAGCAATTAAGGATTTCTTTAAATTTTAGAATGCTTCTCCGAGCATTGCTAATACTGTACAATACTCAGGAATTATATCACTAATCACTCCACCATAATATCCACACACTATCGTAAAAACCAACCACAGATTCATAAACACAGAACGTCAAAATACATAAATAGCAACGTGGAATGTAATCCAAGGCTAGCCATATTTCTTAATAAGATATTATCATACATAATTATACTAGATTACTAGTGGTGACCTGCCAAAAGCGCTTGAGATCTCTTCTCATAGCGAAAGCCATTCTTCTTCGAATCATCGGCAGACCAAACAAAGATACCATGAAGCCGTTTTTGTCTCTTGAGCCTATTACACGCCGTGAAAAAACCGTTCTCCGGCGACAATCCGCCGCTGCCATCGCTAATAAAGCTGGTCAGCACCTTCCCACCGTGATAATTAGAGCTTTGGGTGTTGAAATAATCAATAAACTGGGACACCGTCGTGCCCTCATCATACGCGTAGAATTGGAAGTTGACGTAGTCTATAAAGTGCCCGTATTTTTTCCACAGAGCCAAATAATGGCTCTGAACTTGGTCATCGTCAAAAGGAGCTATGGAAGCAAACGAAATGACCCCTTTTCTCTTCAGGGTCTTTATCAGCCGCCCGATGCACTCTGCGAAAGTGTCGGGATCGGAGCTGAAATGCTCGTAGTCGATGTCGATCCCGTCAAGGTTGTACTGTTCGATGATGCCCGTGAGAGTGGAAACCGCATTGGAAACCCACGAGTCCACCGAGGAAGGTTTGAAGTAAGCGTAGCCGTTTCCGACGCTGTCTCCTCCTAGGCTTAAGGCGACTTTGACTTTGGAATGGGAATTTTTGATGGAGGAAACCTCGGATGGGCTGAGATTGTCGGAGTCCCAGAAGACGTTGAATTTGCCGTTGGTCGGAGAAGAGCCGGAGGAGTCGTAGTCAATGGCGAAGGAGAGAATGAAGTGGAAGTCAACGTTTGGGTTGATGGGGACGTCGGAGAATTTAACGTTGTTGAATTCGGCCCCTATGTATTCCCTGAAGAGGTTTGTGTTCGAAGGGTGTGCTTGGACTTGGATGGATTTGTACGAGGTGATTAAGAGCAGTAGTAGTGTTTGGAAGAATAATTGGGTAGCCATGAGCTTTGGAATTCGTGCCATCGAAGTTCGTGAATTGTGGGCGCTATATGTGGTAAGTATTACTGAAAGTCTGAAACGGATTGGTGTAACTTGTGAGGTTATAGTTGTGTATATATATAGTAGTTCTGAAGTAATTACTAATTAGGGATTTATGATGTGATTGTGTACCGTAGCCGTAGTTACTACATCACATCAAAGAAAGATGAATTCTAAAATATCTCCCACATGGTGTTTTATACATAAACATTGATGTTCTAGTTGAACAGTTTGTTGTTTTGTATTGGGAGGTAATGAATATGTCCTTGTATAATGATGATGTGTCTTTGTTACAAAATTTACTAAATTATTATAGATTACTTTAAGAGAACTAGTAATAGGTTGTTTGGTTGGAAGATTCGTCCACTGATTCGAATTATAGTTCGTAATACGTTACAATATTTTTTTTCACAAAAAATACACGTAAATTGAAAATAATTTTAATCACATAATTTTAATCCATGAACCAAATATCTCTTGAATTGACCATCATATTCTTCGTACGCCCTATTTGTATTGTGAATGGTGTGTTAGCGGTTTCTTGTTCACTATCATGAGGATAGGCGTACGAAGCCGAAAATTGAAGTATTGGGATAATGCGGCAAAATAAATTATAAGTACATGCTATGGCTTGGAGGGAACTTCACGATTCATTAATATGACTTTTAGTTAGTGGAATTGGAGTGGTTGGGACGGATTGCAATCTTTGGAGATAAATTAGAGGATGTTTGGTAGAGGGATTCGTTCCCTGATTCGAATTATAATTCGTAGTTTGCTACAGTATTTTCTCTTACAAAAAATTCACGTAAATCGAAAATGATTCAAATCACATGGTTTGAATGCTCCAACCAAACGTCCTCTTAATGTCCGGGAAGGCTAAGAAATTATCAGTTTGGCCCATAAATCGTCTCTTTTTGAGAGTTCAGATTTACTATTTTAATTTTCTTTTCTCAGCTGTTTCTTTACTAATTATTTACCATGTTGTTTAAATTTAGAAATTTAATCACATAAATAAATACAAAATATTAAAAAACTTAAATAATTTATAAAGTGTCAAAATTTAATTAGAGAGACAACTATTGAAATAAAAATAAATAAATAATAAGACAACAGATCTTGACTACTCCTTTAACAAGGATTATCTTAATGCGTTAATAGATAGTCTACTGATTTAGGCGTCCTAGCTATTTCTCATGCACAAGAGGTCTAATATTAGACAGACTAATGTATAACTCAGGAATATTTGAGCATTAACTTGTTTTATTGTATAGCGCAAAGGACTAAGGTAATCTTTGCGGACAGAGAGTTATAAATCATATTTCTTAGAATGTCTTATAATATGGATAAGTTCAAATATATAAACATCCTCTCTTTTTTTTCTCGGAATGCTATGTCTAATCTTATGTTTTTAGGAATATTACTAACCTTGTTTTCTCACTTTACAATCTTTTCCCTCTTTAATTCGGTCAAAATAGTTGTAAGAAAAAGTAATTTTAAATGTCTTATAATATGGATAAGTTCAAATATATAAACATCCTCTCTTTTTTTCTCGGAATGCTATGTCTAATCTTATGTTTTTAGGAATATTACTAACGTTGTTTTCTCACTTTACAATCTTTTCCCTCTTTAATTCGGTTAAAATAGTTGTAAGAAAAAGTAATTTTAACGTTTTTTTTTAATCGTAATGTTATTGGGAATTATTTTGGTCCAAAACCAAATTGGTTAAATCAGCCAAAAAAAAAATCCCAAATTTAAATAAACGTATCAAATTTTCCAAAAGTAAAATAAAAAACAATCAAGAAAAAGAGGGGGGAAAAAAAAAAGAAAACCACATATACACATAATGTTATTCGTAATGTTATGGGTCGCGTCTTTAGTAGCACGAACCACATATACACATAGAATTTAATATCACGGTTTAAGCATGTGTTAGGATTATTAGCATTGTTAGTTCTTAAATTATGTGCATTCTGTCATTTTAGTTAATAAACTTTTAATAATTACAAATTACTCTCGTAACTTTTGATTTTTGATTATTTTGGTCATTGCACACTAAATTGACTATGGATTTTTAAAATTTCACATAGATCACCACATCCTAGACAAAAATAACTAAAAACTTTCAAATATATAATTACATTAAATGCTAACTATTCTATTTACGGTTATTACAAGTCGTTAAAAATTTAGAACAATTTGCATTTAATGTAACTATTTTTGAAAAAAATTTAAGTTCTTATACGTAATCATCTATGAGAAATTTTAGAAATTATTTATAAATTTTAGTATGCAGAGATTAAAGTGCTTAAAAATTAAAAGTTCAGGAATTAAAGTGACGACAATGCATATAATTTAAGAATTAATAGAACTAATTACCCATGGTTTATTATAAATTCTTTATATACAAACATGCAAGATTAAGAGTAAGTTAGATATAAAAAAAACGCAAGTTAATTAATTTCAAATAGAGTTAATTATATGTATGTTCATAGTGCAATGGATGAAAAAAGGAATGTCTTTATTTGCATATAAATATGTAAAAACAATCCGTAATGGTATTCCTATCTTTTGTCAACGGCCTCTTAAAATTAATTATACAAATTCATAACCATCCATATAAAAGGAGTATATTCAAAATGATATTATATCAATAACCATAAAATAAACAGATTAATAATATTGTCGAATTAAAAGGATATCTTAAATATAGAGTCTAAAAGAAGCCATTTCGTGTAAATACTCCTTTTGAATATAGAAATGGGTCAGTAACATGTATTAACGATCTCTAATCCAACATTTACAAAGTAAAAGGAAAAAGAAGATAAATACTCTTATTAGAATGCATAAGTCTAGATTTTTATATTTTACTCTAATTAAAAGAGTATTAATCAAGAATAAAGAGTAAAAATTAAGATCCAAAAGAAAAATTTATTGTGCGTTTGGTTGGTGGATTCATGCCATAGTTCGGATCATAATTCGTGGCTCGCTACAGTATTTTTTCTCATAAAAAACACACGTAAATCAAAAATAATTCTGAATCTATGAACTAAAAGTCCACCTAATTTTCTCTCTTTTTATTTTTTATTTATTTATTTTTAAATGATGCAGTCAAGTACGTTACAAGACTGGGCCCAATCGGTTAAAAGTTTGCTAGACAGAAGGCATAACAGGATTTTCTTTACATTTAGGGTTTGTTTAGTTTGAGGATTCAAACTATATGATTCGAACCATTTTCGATTTACGTGTATTTTTTATGAGAAAAAATACTATAACGAACCACAAATCATGATTCGAATCAGGAAACGAATCTCTCTACCAAATGCCCCCTTAGAAACGCTAACGCAACATTCACAATACAAAAAGCAGGGCCCAAGAAAACGAGGGATTTTTGGATACAAGCTTATAAAGTGCTATAGTGATTGGGGGGGACTTTGACAAGTCAAGCCTATTTTCTGCCCTGCCTTAATGTCAAAGAAAGTATGGCAAGGCCAACAACGACCACAGAAGTACTAGTCTAAACGACAATAATTGATGTTGGTGACGAAAGAGCTATTCATTTCTAACAGCATGACCACCCCCTTTGGTTAAAAGCATTTTTCTCTAATTATACATTTGCGGTTGATGGGTGTTTTTATCACCCTATTCACATTTGTACTTCGATCAACCCACATTTAGTGGCAGACTTATATGGGCCTCTTTAACATAACTGGGCTGAGTTAGGCCCAACAATCAATCTACTTCTTGGAATGGTGCAAAAATTTGGTAGCTAGAAGATGTAATTAGGAACTCTTACTTCAGTCTAGTCGTAGACATAGAGTAAAGTACATATTAAACTCCACCACGGTGTAGAGTTCGAATTTCCTCACTCTAACATCAAAAAAAGTAAGGGGAAAAAAAAAGTTGTAATCAAGAAAAGATATGCCTTGACTTTTCAGTGGAATATGATCAGCACTTATTATTATTTTTTTCCCTGTAAAAGAAGCAAAACTAGTGCTTTACACGCTAAACTCTTTCCTGCTGGTAAGTTGTTACATACACTGAGGGCGCGTTCATTTTACTGACTCAAATTTATTAATTTGAGTTAAGATCCCATTTATTTTATCAATTCGAATTTAAAATTTAAGTTTTGTTACAGTAAAAAGCTCTTAAAAACCGTCACATCTAACTTTTTTACTACAGTAAAAAACTTTAATATAAAGTCACATCTCAACTTGAATTAACGAACTAAACAAGCCATAAGAAAGTGGATTTGAGTTGTAAGAAATTTGAGTTTAGTTTGGACTTTGAGTTAAGTGTTTAGGAGGAGATTGATTTGACATTTAAAACTTGAGTTTTGTATTCACTTATACTAAAGTCAAACTCCAATTACAAATAAGTGTCTTTTTCTGCAGAGACAATCCGCACTGTATAACTAAACTTGAGTAATGGGAAAATAAAAAGAGTTTCGTTTAGTAAACGTATAATTCGGTCCAATTTCACACCTGAGTTGGGCTTACTCGAATGTGATCTACGAATTGAATGGCCCTAAATCTACTTGCACAAAATTGTCCGCCTGAATGACCACCATTGCATGTGAGGAAAGTAGACTAAAGAAGATATATAGCTAAAAAAAAGCACCACGTCTACTTGACTTTCTGATCGATTTTTTTTTTTTTTTAATTCAGATATGATCAATTAAACTTCATGTACTTTAATTTACTGGTGCAACGTCATGAATATTGTAATGAAACATCTGCTTTTCACCCCACACTTCGGATACCATGGTGATCATTATAAGCACCAAGAGAAAGTAGCCAAAGTATTGACTGGTAGATGCTTCATTTTGCGCTAGTCTGGTCCTGCAGCACACGCTTAGGATACTAAAATGCTTGTTGAACTTGCTATTATGAGTCAAACATTATTAAAATTGTAGTTGGTAGTTTAATAGCGACTGATCAACTGAACTGATGCTGTTTTTCATCACTTTCAGACTAAGCAGCATTTTT